AATGAAGAAAGCATTGATATAAGCAGTCTACACAACAAGTTGGCAAAATTAAATATTATAGTGAACTCTCATGTAGAAATAATCAGTAAATTGAAAGAAAGTAATGACCACTTGAGTAGCAAAGATTTATGTCTTGAGGGTTTAGTTAAAAACTTGTGCAAGAAAAAAAATCAATTGGAAACAAATTGCAGAGCCATGGAAGAGGAAAATAAACTCTAAAAAGTAGCTTTGGAAGAACTTAAAGCAAATTTAAACATAAATGACTACAATAGGTTAGGTAAGGAAATTCAACAGGAGAAACAACTTTTGTCAACACAGATGGAAGAAGTTACACAGGGAATAGAACAGTGCAAGAAGGATATGCAACTCACCTATGCACACGTGGCCAAGGAGAAGGAAAAAATAGAAGAAGCAGTAAAGGAAGCCAAACACTGCAGCAACCAGGAAAAAACAAACATTAGGCTGGAAGTGAGAAAGGAATTGGCATCTAACCCGAAGTTGGTGCAAAACACAGTTGATCGAAGTAAGTCTAATAATTTTTTGTTGCAAAGAAAAGGAGATAACATCTAGGTCAGAAAGAGCTGAAGAAGAAACGAGAGTAGTAGATAAAATTGTTGGTCTCGTGGAAGGTCTTACAACCATAGAGAATGTCTCCGAATACAGAAGAATAGGAAAGGTACGTAACTGGGAAAGATCGACCTTTGAGGATCACCCTAAAGAATGCCAAACAGATAGAAGAAGTACTAAGGAATGCTAGAAAATTACAAAGTGATAAGTATGGGAAAGTGTGGTCGTTAAGGCAGACCTTTCAAAAGAAGACAGAGCAAAGCTGAAAATAAACATCGTAGATGCAAAAAGTCTAAATGAGAACAGAAACAAAGAAGAAATCCATTCTTTTTTCTACAAAGTGATGGGGTAGGCAGGCCAGTAAAATGATACAAAAAGGCAAACCAACAAAATTGCTAGAGAAAGGAGTAGTGAAGAATAAGGAGATGGGGAACATGTTCCTCAAAATTGTATACCACCAATGTAGATGAAGTGAGATCGAAGACACTGGAGTTAAGTGATGTAATACAGCTGCAGATGCCAGACATTGTTGCACTCACAGAGACGAAGCTTGAAGATGTTATTTAAAACGAGGTTATATTCTGTAGTGGCTACTCAATTTGGAGACAGGACAGAAAAATTAGGAAAGGCGGTGGCATTGCTATGCTGGTGAAAGAACACCTAAAGGTAACCGAAATAATGATTGCCAATCCACGAGAAGTTGACGTAGCACTAGAGATCTGCCATGAGGATGATAAACTAATGATCATAAATGCATATAGTCCATGACCAAGCAACACTTGGACAAAGGAGGAGTTAGATCATAACAAGAGGATGTTATAACAATAATGAGAGAGATTATAGCGAGAGCGGATAAAGATAGATCATAACTGTTGGTAGTAGGTGACTTTCAACTTGAAATCCATAGATTGGGAAGCATATGAAGCTAGAACAGAGGATTTTGGACCTGTAGATTTGTAGACCTCATCTTGGAAACATTCTTGTATCAACATGTTAAACAAGCTACAAGGATGAGGGAAGAGGTTGTTCCTTCCATGCTAGATTTGATATTTACCAGGAAAGAGGAAGAGGTATTTGACATTCAGTACTTTACTCTCTTGGGTAAAAGTCACCATATCTTTTTGGAATAAAATATGCAATGCATTATAATCTGGAAGAAAATAAGGAGGTTGAAGTAGTTGAAAAACCTGACTTCAGGAGAGGACATTATGAGGACCATAGAAATTTTTTAATGAGTATAATTGGATAGACTTGTTGCTAGGCAAGGAAGTAAATGAGATGTATGTCAAGTTTTGTGAAATATATGATAAAGGCCTGATCAACCAGGCTGTGACTCATATGTCAGGCTGCGAGCAGCCGCGTCCAACAGCCTGGTTGATCAGTCTGGCAACCAGGAGGCCTGGTCGACGACCGGGCCGCGGGGACGATAAGCCCCGGAAGCACCTCAAGGTAACCTCAAGGTAAGGCACAAAAAAATTTATATCAAAGCAGAGATGCAGAACCAGGAAAGAAGATTGGTCCAACAGAAATTGTGAGAAGACCAGAGACCAAAAGACACACAAATGGAATTAACACAGGAAGAGGCCAAACCCCCAAACATACCAGCGATACAAAAATGCGAAAAACAACTACATGGCAGTGAGGAGAGAGGCAGAAAGAAATTTTGAAAAAGGGATTGTGGACAAATGTAAAACAGAGCCAGGCCTATTCTATAATTCATAAACAAACAACAAATTGCAGGAAAAGGATAATATTCAGAGGTTGAAAATGAGAAACAGATTCACAAAAAATGAAAAGGAAATGTGTGAAACATTAAACGAAAAGTTTCAAAGTGTGGTTTGTGCAAAAGGAAATATTCAGGGATCCAGACACAATAAGAATTCCAGAGAACAACGTACAGTGCATAGAGGTGTCTAGAGACGAAGTAGGAAAAATGCTCAAGGAACTAAGTAAGAACAAAGCAGTTGGTCCAGATGGAGTTTCACCAACTGTCTATATAGATATAGACAGTTTTCATCTGTCATTATATATATATATATATATATATATATATATATATATATATATATATATATATATATATATATATATATATATATATATATATATATATATATATATATATGTATGTATGTATGTATGTATGTATATATATATATATATATATATATATATATATATATATATATATACATATACATATATATACATATATATATATATATATATATATATATATATATGTCGTACCTAATAGCCAGAATGCACTTCTCAGCCTAATGTGCAAGGCCCAATTTGCCTAATAAGCCAAGTTTTCATGAATTAATTGTTTTTCGACTACCTAACCTACCTAACCTAACCTAACCTAACGTTTTCGGCTACCTAACCTAACCTAACCTATAAAGATAGGTTAGGTTAGGTTAGGTAGGGTCGGTTAGGTTCGGTCATATATCTACGTTAATTTTAACTCCAATAAAAAAAAATTGACCTCATACATAATGAAATGGGTAGCTTTATCATTTCATAAGAAAAAAATTAGAGAAAATATATTAATTCAGGAAAACTTGGCTTATTAGGCAAATCGGGCCTTGCATAGTAGGCTGAGAAGTGCGTTCTGGCTACTAGGTACGACATATATATATATATATATATATATATATATATATATATATATATATATATATATATATATATATATATATATATTTAATATAATATAATATAATGTATAATATGTTGTCATTATGCCTCTCGATTATTTCAGTATTGCTTGTTAAGATGTCTGTGGTGATGGTCTGGTTGTGTGAGGAGATTATATGCTCCTTGATGGAGCCCTATTGCTTGTGCATTGTTAATCGCCTAGAGAGACGTTGTCTTGCCTATATACTGAGATCTTTAGGGCTGACAGTCCCCAAGTGGGCATGTGAAGGCATAGATGACATTGGTCTCTTTTAAGGCATTCTGTTTGGTGTCTGGAGAGTTCTTCATAAGTAAGTTGGCAGCCTTCTTGATTTTGTTTTTTACTACAAAAACAAGAAAACCGCCAACCTACTCATCTTAAGCAATACTGAAATAATCGAGAGGTATAAAGACAACAGAAGGCTGGACATCAGCAAGGCCCTACACATCAAAAAGTCAAGACCAGCAATCAACAACCAGTTAACACATAATTACATATTACCCACTTCAAGACCCCGAACCAACACAGAGAAAGTAGAAGCAAGAACATAAGCTGCTTATGTTCATGCATGTAATAGCCTGTTAATATCCATTATGTTTCATCTACTTGTTCATCTCAATCATGTCCTGTATCATCTCACCCCAAGTGAATATAAGCCTCTGCAAAAGCATTGTAAATATGTCTTTGAAAATGTAAGGAGTGCCTTGCAAAATGCATCCCTAGGCATCAGACCATAATAACTTGTGAAAATGAACTTTGGAGAGTTAGTTTATCAACTTCCTTCGACAGTGAAGAAAAACATAAGAAATATTGAGAAGATTCGTGTTAGAATCATTAATCTTATCCTTTTGGTCATATTCAACAGCATATGGTTACACGTAAAACTGCTTCCAAAATATACTAATTATATATATATATATATATATATATATATATATATATATATATATATATATATATATATATATATATATATATATATATATATATATATATATATATATATATATATATATATATATATATATATATATATATATATATATATATATATATATATATATATATATATATATATATATATATATATATATATATATATATATATATATATATATATATATATATATATATATATATATATATATATATATATATATATATATATATATATATATATATATATATATTATTAATTCTAGGATATGATTGCCAACTAATGGACATATATTCTGGAACAGCAAGTGCTTGTTTGAAAAATGAATCTTTTCTTTTTAAATGCATCAGTGCATTACTGAATACATTGACTACTTAACATCCTTAATCACCTTGAATATATTTGGTTGATATACATTACTCAGCATCGTGCATGGTGTGAGTAAACCTGCAGTTTGTTTTCATTTAGAACATGGGTGGAATATATGTTAATTGATAGTACAGTGATGTATCTTGTTTTAGAAATGTTCATAAATTTGCTTTATATTCCCAAAATTCTTTAGACTCTTAATGGATTTTCATCTCTTTCTTACAATACATTAAAGATTTTCCATATTTCTAGAATGCAGAAAGATTTATATAATCTTTCAAGTCCATTCATCTTGAATAAACCTCTGCCAAGATGCTGTTTCAGAATACATGATGCAAAACTGTCAGTGGTGCAAGAAGAAGCAACAAAGTTAGTATTGCAAATCTGCTAGGCATATTTTATTTCCTGGTGTTGTGTGTTTGTTCTACTAACGGCCTCCATACTAACCCCTTATTCTCCCACCGTTCCTTCTCGAAGCCCTTGTGAATGGACTGAGCTATCGAGGATTCCATCAGGTCCACATATCGAACGACCATCGGTGCAAACGTCTCTCTGAGATGTTGATGAAACCGTCCATTTTTAAGGTTGTCTGAATAAAGAAAAGAGTGGTTAAAGATTAATAACACATGACAGTGAACGATAACAACTCTCAGTAAAAAAAATTAAATATGGCTTTATTGTGAAAAAAGATGACAAATAAGGATATGGAAATTACTATGGGGTTACCGGTATATTCAACACTAAAACGAAATTATTGAAAATATTCTGTTATTTGTATATACAGTAAAACTCTAGCAGTTTTTTCTTGCCATTTAGTAATCAATGTGAATGTATGGTGTATGATTAAATAAATTTCAAACCTTCTACCATATCGCAAATACTTTTAACATCAGTCTCAGTTTTATAAGGGTCTCTCACCCCATCACCACCATCGCCTCTCACAACACCACCACCATCCACTCTCACAACTATCCAGCATACCCTCTCACAACACCACCACCATCCACTCTCACAACACCACCACCATCCCCTCTCACAACACCACCACCATCCCCTCTCACAACACCACCACCATCCCCTCTCACAACACCACCACCATCCACTCTCACAACACCACCACCATCCACTCTCACAACACCACCACCATCCCCTCTCACAACACCACCACCATCCCCTCTCACAACACCACCACCACCATCCACTCTCACAACACCACCACCACCACCATCCCCTCTCACAACACCACCACCATCCACTCTCACAACACCACCACCATCCCCTCTCACAACACCACCACCATCCCCTCTCACAACACCACCACCATCCACTCTCACAACACCACCACCACCACCATACTCTCACAACACCACCACCACCACCATACTCTCACAACACCACCACCACCATACTCTCACAACACCACCACCACCACCATACTCTCACAACACCACCACCACCACCATACTCTCACAACACCACCACCACCATCCACTCTCACAACACCACCACCACCATCCACTCTCACACTATCAATTTGAGAACTAGTTAAAGGATAAAGGGTATGATAAATGCCCTTCTATGATACAATACATGGGTATGATACACTATGATAAAAAAGTGTAATACAGTAACCAAGATCAATCAGCACAAGTGAGAGAATTGCAAGCTGAACTAATCGAACTTTCGTTTTAATAAGGGACAATAAGTGCCTTACAGAGAAAAAAGATGGAAACACCTGTTTAATACAGTAAAAATACTGAAGATAGTACAGTATAAGTTTTAATGGAGATGGTTAAGACTTTAAGCCTTCAACTGTGCATGACAATCAGGGATGTTCTTGCCATTTATGATTACCCTGCTTGAGACAATGAGCGATGTTTTAAAGTACCACATATGAATTAAAACTCCTGTGTGTACACAGGACTCGCATCTACTTCCTCAGGCCTCCAGTAAACAGATGCCACCTTGGAAAAAATTCAGGGCACCCTCCCCCCCTGAGTGTGAGCGCATCAGTACTAAATGGGCAACCATGCATAGTGTATTCTGTGGCAGTTCACAGCGCTGCCATGCATCTTGTGCCCACAGCATCACTTAATAATGAAATAAAATAAATAAGCAGCAATTTATGAGGGTAGTGTCATAGAAGATCATGACTATGTACAAGTTTCAGATGTCAATGAACCTAATGCTGGTTACGATGTTCACAGCACAAGGCGGTCATCTACAGCACACAACTATGGTTTGGTGCATCTATGAATCATGAAACAGGACCTCATGTTCCTTTAGAAAATGAACTTGTGGAAAATCATTCATATTCAGGATTTGGTGACCTCGATTCTGATAATAAAGCAGTGTTGTGGCTAGAGTTAATGATGTGAGTAGCATATTAGAAGGCACTTTGTTATGTCAAGAGCCATCAGAAACTGAATGGTGTGTAATTACCTATGTGATTGTAACCTATTCATTGTTGCCCACTGGATGGTGGTGTGGTGTGCAGGACTAACATCTCAATTGTGACACAAGCTCTCCCTATGTGTCAGTTGCTTAATTTAGAAACTATACATGTGGTCGGTCTCGAGCCCTTTGTTAATGTGATGATGTGCACTGAATTTTGTAACTAGCTCATCAAGATTTTAACTTGCTTTGCTAAATGAGTTGTGGAGTTCAGTCACTGAGACCATTATGTGCCTCTGTAACCCTTTCCACTACCACCCACAAGATGGGTATGGTGTGCATAATAAATGAACTAGACTAAACTGTAATTACCTATTGCAGTTACAGAATGAGAGCTATGCTTATCGTGTCCTGTCTTCCCTGTACTCTTTCTCATATGATGCTTTGAAACTACTGATGGGTTGGCATCCACCACCCTTCTCATGTAGACGATGAGTCACAATAACGTGGCTGAAATATGTTGACCAGACCACACACTAGAAAGTGAAGGGATGACGATGTTTCGGTCCGTCCTGGACCGAAGCGTCGTCGTCCCTTCACTTTCTAGTGTGGTCTGGTCAGCACCTTCTCACTTAACTTTTTCCAACCATGTGCCACTCTATTTGCAAACGTGAACTTTCTAATGTTTCTAATGGCTATTTAAATCTACAACCACTTGTTATTGAAGTTCCAGATTTGAAGAATTCTTTTGTGTCAATTTTGTCTATTACTGGATTATTGTGTCCAAGCATGGATACGTTATATTCAGAAAGACATATATGTGCTTTGGAGAAAATCAACACTGGACAACAAAAATCCTTCCAGAACTAAATCAACTCTTGTACCAGAAACAGTTGAGGGCTACAGGGCTAATGACACTGCAAACCAAACGTGACAAGGCTGATTTTATTGAAACCTTTAACACCTTCGCTCTCCGTCAACGCTGCTGGCGTTCAAAATTTTTCTCTTGTGTCCGAGCCGGGGACACGAGCGGCATCCACATTTTAAAATATTTTTTAAATTAAAATTTTATTTGATCAATCTGGGAGTAGTTTTAAAATGAGTGCTTTTAGATTACGCACAATTTGATACCAAAATGAAAGATGTAACATGAAAATTGATGTCAGAACACTGGAAATTTTTTAAATATTTTTTGCATCCAAAATTTAAAATATTTGTTAAAATTCCATTTATTGTGCTATTATTATGGGACTAGTTTTGAATAGCGCGCCTTTATATTGCGAACAATTTGATACCAAAATGAAAGATGTAACACGAAAATTGATGTCAGAACACTGGAAAGATATAAATAATTTTGTGATGAGCATCCAAAATTAAAATATTTGTTAAAATTCCAGTTATTGCTTCATTATTATTATAGGACTAGTTTTAAAATATGCATCTTTATATTGCGAACAATTTGATATCAAAACGAGCGATGTAACACAAAAATTGATGTTATCAAACTGAACGAGTATACACTTGGGGGCCGGCCAGCCGAGTGGACAGCACGCTGAACACGTGATCCTGTGGTCACGGGTTCAATCCCGGGCGCCGGCAAGAAACAATGGGCAGAGTTTCTTTCACCCTATGCCTCTGTTACCTAGCAGTAAATAGGTACCTGGGAGTTAGTCAGCTGTCACAGGCTGCTTCCTGGGGTGTGTGTGTGTGTGTGAGGGAAAAAAAAAGTAGTAGTAGTAGTAGTTAGAAACGGTTGATTGACAGTTGAGAGGCGGGCCAAAAGAGCAGTGCTCATCCCCCGCAAGCACAACTAGGTGAATACAACTAGGTGAATACAACTAGGTGAATACATTAGGTTGCGGGTGTGATAATTGGTGCTTGTTCATGGGTAACTTTAGGCTTTGTTAAGGGGAGTCATGCCGGGCTTTTGGACAATATATGCATATACACCTGCAGGGAATTTAATTGCGAACACAATGATACCAAAATGAATGACGTAGGCACAAGAATTAAGGTGAGAAAACTGAAACGAGTATACAGATTTTACTGATTTTGTGCGCTCACGGGTAACTTTTGCCGACTTTAGGCTTTGCTGTGGGGAGTCACGCCGGGCTTTTGGATATTATATGTATATACTCCCGTAGGGAATTCTATTGCGAACAGAATGATACCAAAACGAACGACGTAACACAAGAATTAAGGTGAGAAAACTGAAATGAGTATACACATTTCGGTGTCGCCGCACACTTGTCTGCACGCTCGAGTATACTGCCAGGAGCAGTTTGTGCATTCAAATGGAGCGTACGCCCGGGGCGCGAAAGTGTTAAAATATTGAACAATTCCAAGGATATTGATTCAGCCTACTTCTTTTACCACTGTACTGCATAACCTATCATATCAAGGGGTGTGCCCCCCTACATATTATTATTTTTATTATATTGTAAAAGTCAAAACTCCTGCATATACAAGGGGCTCACATCCTGTTCCTCAGGTCTCCAGTAAACAGATGCCAGCTTGAAAAAAAAAAAAACGATCTGCATCCCTCCTGACTGTGAGATCCTCAGTACTGCCAGAGCAACCAAGGCTGGCACATGCAACTGCAGCTCACAACATGGCACAGCTGTTCTAGTCAGGCCCACATCACCACTTAATAATCATGAATAAAATAAGCAACTGCAATTATTTCATGATGGTAGTGACATAGATGATCTAGACTGTAATGAAAATTATGTACAAGGTTCAAATATCAGTGAACACAATGCTAGTTATGATGTTCACAGCAGGAGGCAAACATTCACGGCACACATCCAAGGTTTGTGAATCTACGTATCATGCAAAGTGACCTCATGTTCCTTTAGAAAATAATCTTGTGGAAAATTATTCATATTCATGATTTAGTGACAGGAATCTGATAATAATAGCAGTGTTCAAAGTAAAAATAGTTTGTAGTCCCAGGTACAGTATGTGATTTTTCCAAATGAGTGGTATGGTTGCCAACTATTCTGAATTCTAATAATATGGGTGTTATATGAAATTTGTATTTATATGGAGCTAAATAATCTTCCTATCTTGGTACCTTCTTCTGATAATTACTTATTTGCATATAAATATTAATAGAAAACATCGAAATTATCATCTGGGAATTTGGCTACAATACTTTCTCTCCAGGTTCGTTACATATGCAAGAACATTTTTCTTCCATGCACTTGTATGCATTACATTATATGGTTTGGGGCATATATTATTACCAACTTTGAAATACTGTATCACTCAAATACTTACCATCCGTTCTTAGGTAGTCATTGAGGATTTGGAAGAGCGGGAAGGAGTCCCAGGTATCAGGGGGTTGTTCAGCTAAAACTTGATCCATATCTACAGCAAACAGGGACCAGAAGATTTCGGCATGTTCCACCAAAAGATCGCTGAACCATGCAAATGCCTGGAAATAGTATGTCCAATCATTTAGTTTTTAGAAAGAAGCTGGAGAACATGTGATAAATATTTCTGAAATGGGGATAATAAATAAGACTACAGTATAACCAAATTAATTTACTGAAATGACAAAGTAAAAATATGATTATCTTTTGCTTGTAACATAGGCAACTTCAGAGTTGCTGCTAGGGAAAATCATGATGAATATACAATCAGTAAAAGAGAGAGGGAGGGAGGACAAACTTAAATCTGATAAAAACAAAATGCAGAGATGTGATGCATAAAGGAATGACAGTGATACAACAAGAACGATTAGATGCTAACAAAACTTGTATTACAAACACTTCTATAGTTCAAAATTACACACACACAATATTTTTTTCTGACCCAGTCTTATTAGTCAGTAGAATTAATAAAACACACTTAATTAAATTAGGGATCGTAAGTTTGGAAAGGAATTTTATTAACAGTCAAGAGAAACCAGGCCATACCAAGTTAGATAATAATATATCATACCATATCACAGCATACATTTATATACATGAGAGCATTAAAGAAAAATAAGAATAATGAGATTTACAAGTGTGTAATTTCATTTCGTGGAACTTGGATGAAATTTTTCTGCTTTATTAAATGCTATTTTTTATCTTATTATAACCATGCTTAGTGATACAGTACAATGAATTGCTGTGGTCTTCACACAATATTCCTAATTCTGTTTCAACTATCTATTTATTGAAACAAAAAATATCTCTTGAGCTTCATTAGATGTAAGAACTGTACATACACTATACAAGTCACAGAGCAATACAAATTTATATATGCTGCATACGTTTGTTTTTCTCTCCCACAGCACCATGTGTAGTACTACCAATACAGCAGCTACTACTTATTATCATGTTATATTATAATTTCATGGACACTATTCATAGATATATACATAATATATATAACATATTGTACTGTACAGTGTGTTCATTATATATATATACATTATATATATACATACATATATATATATATATATATATATATATATATATATATATATATATATATATATATATATTATATTATATTATATATATATATAAAATGCACACACTGTACAGTACAATATGTTATATATATTATGTATATTATATATAAAATGGTATATTTTTAATATTATACTACAATATTAAAAATATTATACCATAGTATATTATATTATATACTATATAATATTATATAAACTAACATATATTTCTGGGGTGAGCCCCTTTGGCTCCCTGGAGCTATCAGGGCGGATATGAATGTTAGTCCTTGGCATCAGTCAAAGCAAATGGAGTTCTTAGGCCTACCAGGGACCACTAGTCAAAACCTGGCCCTTTCAGAAAGGAATGACGAGTAATGGTCTATAGTAACTCCCATGTGTTTAAAAACATTTAATGTCTGCAATTGACCAGGTCAGGTACCCAGAAAGGTAGGCACCCCCAAAACGAACTCTATCTGATTAAAAAATTGATACCGAAAGTCGAACTGCTGGACAGAATTCCCCAAACTAAAAACGAGTAAACGAGCATGACATCACAACTGTCACCATGCCGCTGTCTGTGCAGCTACCTCCTCCTCGGGAAGGGGGAGCCCCAGACCTCCGTGCCAGATATCCATCCGCTAGTTCTGTGGCCAATGAGAAACCTGGCAGTCGTGTGACTCTGGCTCCAGACATTTTCCAGTGCTGTACCATGTGATGTGGTCCTCTCCTGTGGTGGTGTGCAAGCCAGGAGTAATTTCACAAGTACTCGGGCTGTATGCACCTAGGGTTCCTTTCACTAAGTGCCCTGTAAGTACTGCCCATGTGGCTTGGGGTTATCTTCCATAAAACCCTTTTGAGTCTGCCTCTCCGTGGGGTCTTTTACTGTTCAGTGATTGCCCGCCTTTGGAGTCAGCTGGGGTATTTCATGCACCACTGTTTATCTCTGGGTAGGAGGTAGTTTTGTTACTAATAGGGACGCAAGGTACTGTGCAGCTGGTTTTCACCATAACAGGGTTAAACAGTTCTCGGTTTAACCAGTCCCCGTGGTGTAGTGGTAAGACACTCGCCTGGCGTTCCGCGAGCGCTATGTCATGGGTTCGTATCCTGGCCGGGGAGGATTAACTGGGCGCAATTCCTTAACTGTAGCCTCTGTTTTAACGCAACAGTAAAATGTGTACTTGGATGAAAAAACGATTCTTCGCGGCAGGGGATCGTATTCCAGGGACCTGCCCGAAACGCTACGCGTACTAGTGGCTGTACAAGAATGTAACAACTCTTGTATATATCTCAAAAAAAAAAAAAAAAAAAAAAACCATAGCGGCTGATTGTTCTGCCTGGGTTATAGTCCTCTTGCGTGGTTTTTCTTTTACGTTTTGTTTCCTGCCTGGTGGGGAGGGGTGTCTGCCTTTTGGTGTTGGTACCCCTTCTATATATTCGGTGGTCCTCCACTAGGTACCCCTGAGTGCACACATCTCGGGGGTTCAGCTTTTATTAGTTTGCTTGGTAGTTTGGTGGTGCCGGTTAGCAGTACCTTGCCTGGGCTTCCCTTAACATAGCATTTAAAGAGGCCTGGAAACCCCCATTGGGGCTCAATGGTCTGATGGATGCATCCCCTGGGTCCTATCTCGCTTCGTGCCAGTTTGAGGGTTGCTCTGTCCATATGACTCAGGGTGACAATCATCAGTTGTGCCTCCAACATGCTGCCTGTTAGGTCAGTGACATCTTTGACCCGGAGTCCTGTGAGTGGTGTTCCTTGCTTGTACTCCAGTTCACCCAATCCACTGATCTTGACATTCAGGTGCAGGTGGCTTCGGCATTGTATGCATATTTTCGGTTGCTGCAGTGCGCTTGGTCGACTGCTCACCCAGATGCTCCGAGACTGCACTGTTTTGGTTATAGGGACTCAGACTTGGGGTATTAGTCGCCTCAACTTTGGGTTCGTCTGCACTCCCTTGTCCTTCCCTTGCTGTTGTGGTCCTGTTCCTCCCCTCCTGCACCCTGGTCCGAAGCATCTGAGGGATTCAGAGTCAGGGCAGGGTTTAGTTGGTGGTGAAACTGGCGGTTTTGGAGAATGCCCCTTCCGGTGTGACGACAGAGGCATTCAAGCCTGTTCCTCCAGCTGGTGCTTCTGGGTCTAACCAATGGGCCCCCTTCACTTCAGCTTTTCTAGTGGACCCTACCTTTTCTTTTGAGGCAGAGGGTTTGGAGGATGGCTCGGCCCCGTGTCCTGGTATGGAGGTTCTCGGGGCAAGGGAGGGGCTGACTTTGGGGGTTTGGGCCCTGTTTGACCCTGCTTGGGTTTTGGTACCCTCTGAGCAGGGCTTGTTGTTGCAGGGGGGTGGGGGATTTCTTATCCCCCTCCCTGCATGAGTTTGATATCGCGCTAACCCCTCCCCAGGTTCAGTTCCAGGTTCTGTTGAGTACTTAGTTTCCTTCTTTTAGGAGGTTTTCAGCCTCCCGCATCCCGCCCCATGAGGTGCGGGAGGCCATTGCAGGTAACCACCTGCTCGACCTGGATTACGCCTCGATAATGGATCCTGCTTCTTTTGAGTTCAGTTCTTCCTTTCCTTACTGGGTGCATTATGAGGTTCCAAAGTCGTCCTGGTTGGCAGACTGTTCCGTGTTTTTGTTGGGGGGCATGGCATGTGTTCTGTCAGTCCTGCATGTTTGAGTTGCGAGAGGCCTTTACGGTTGTTCCGGTTTACCTGGAGTGCGAGTCTGAACACCTCAATGAGTGTTTGTTCGCTCCTGCCCTTCCTTGGGATGTCGGCCTGGTACAGCTTCACGTGCAGGTCCCCTCCCCTTCGGCTGCCCTGGTTGCTGAGGACTTGCGCGCCCATGGCTATTTGGCTTCGGTCTTGCCTTTCTTTTCTCTTTTCGAGTTGTCTTCGGACTGGCTTGAGGAGGATGTGGAGGCGCTGGGTGCCGATCCTGATTCTGGTGTTCTGGTCTCAGTGGTACGGGTGTTGGCTGCCTTGTTGAAGCTGTTTGCACTGGTCCTGAGGGAGGCAGGCTCTGTTCTTTGCTTCTCGTCTCGCGTGCTGTCAGGTGGTGCTCGCTGAATCCTTGGAATCTACTTGGGCTCTGGCTCTTAAGTTTTTATGCTTTTTTGTCCTTTGCTGTTTGTAGAGTCTGCGGTGGCGCAGTTTACGCAGGCAACTTCTTCTAGTTGTCATCCCATGTCGGACTTGTTGGCTTTCTGGGTGGGGGGGGGGGGCCGTGGGGGTCTACCCAGCAAGGTCGTGCCAGGGCTTGGGGTTTCTTCCATTGTGCTTGATCAGTGGTACCAGTTTTGGAGCTGATGCAGCCTTCGGAATTGACAGTGTCTGGTCGACAGGGTGATCGCTCTGCTCGTTGGTCGGTTTCTATTAAGGGGCGTCGGCCCTTTCGCAGGTCGTCCCATTGATGAGGTGTAAGAGAGAGACCCTTGTGTAGGGAGAAATAGCAGTGTTAAATGTTGAAAAACAGTCTAGAACTCTTACAGTTGAAAACCCTGCCCTAGACTGCAGATGCACATAGTATCATCTTAACAGGAAAATGTCATCTCCTAAAACCAATGTAAACAAAAGTGATAATGTTAAAAAGCAGATTCAATGCAAGAAAATATAGAGAAACAACAGTGTTAAATGTAGAAAACAGCCTGGAACATTTAAAGACATATAAATAAACTATTGGGGAATGTGTATGAAACACATGTGTTTGTATAAACATTATTGGAATCAGGCGGTTAGAGAGAGATGTGAGAGCGCTCTATCGTTCACTTGGTGGAAAGAGGCAGCGAGGAAAAGGACCAGTTCACTTGTGTGGCTTGGGATGGTCTCCAGCAATACGATACGTGCATTATCAGATGTTTTATAGCAGTGCTTCCCCTTTTGTATGAGTTAGAGTTAGGATACTGTATAAATAAGGATTTTAGAACCCTGTGTGTAGGTAGTGTACTGTGCTATTTATTCATGTGGTCAGCTCTGTGTCACTTGGTGTTATCCCCA